GTTTGCTTTGGTCTATGTAAAAAAAATTGATGAAAACCGAATTAAATGTTGTCCATGTTAGACATTGAAACAAGCATTTCAGAGAATAAAAACCTAAGTTTGCACTTACTTTTGTCCCCTAGCGTAGTTTTTCAAATAAAATATGTGTTTAGTATGTTTCGGTGCCATAATTGAAAAAAAACTAGATCATTTCTTAAGACACTAGTGCAATATTTGAATCTTTACTGCAATGTCTTTCTAGAGCAATCAGCCAAAGCAAAAGAGAAAAAATTGCGCAATGAGTGTGTTTTGTTCGTTTTTTTTCACATTTCTTTCATACCAGATAAGCAACAACTTAAATTGCATCACAAAATTTGTTCACAACTCGACACTGCGTGTCCTGATTTAATCACTAAATTTCTTGAGGCAATTATTAGCTGTTGCTTATTTACTTTATCTACTACAAATGCCACGGAAACAAACAGCACACATCTTTTATCAAGTACTAAATGCAATAATTTAAGTCTTGTAGAAAATTAATGGAAATTTTGAGAAAAAAATACATTAGTGGCCAGAAACAAGCGCAAAATCATGCTTTTATTTTGAAAAGACTATTTTAGAGACAATTTGGGACAACATTCTCTTAAATTTTCAACAGAACTTTTACATTGAACTAGAGAATGTTCTGGAAATCAAAAATAGCTTTTTAGAGGGTAGCTGTAATCACTAACTCGAGATCAATATAAAAAAATCTATTGAAAATCTAAGATAAAACGGTCCAAAATTGTCGTTAAAATTAGTATTTTCAGAGAATAAAAACAAAAATTTAATTTGCGTTAATGTTTGTCCAATAATGTGTTCTGCTCTAAAAATCTTTCCGGCGATTCCTTACAAGACTCAAATTTTAGCACTTAATACTTGAAAAAACACATGTGTGCTGTATGTTTCATTGCCATATTTGAGAATCTAAATTAAAACTTAGAAACAATTATACATCATCTTCCTAGAACAATCAAGCAAAAGTAGTTAAAAAGTTAAAGTCGCGTGTTTTTTTTTTCAAATTTGTGAGTCTTGTTCGAATTTCCGATGTTTTTCATAACAGACAAACAAAAACTCTTATTACTACTCAAAATTAGTGCCTGTCTGGAGTTGTTCGCAAAGTTTTACGTTGCAGTATATAGGTTTTGCTTATCTTCTATCTTCTTATCTGTAGCTGGAAAAATATACGTTTTTTTTTGTTTTAAAAAAAGTCAAAAAGCAGTCGGATCTTTCAGATTTGGTTAGAGTTCATTCCCCATTGTGGGTGTCTAAAACTGCCTCGAAAATTAAATTTGCGGAATTTATCGGTTTATTCCTTGTTCAAAAAAGCCAGTTTGCACTATCTGTAAGTTTTTTATAACAGTGAAAAACTTAAAAACAAAGCCGAGAGAAGGACAGATGTCACATTGAACAGCTCAAAGTTTTCAACTTTTCCGCAATGCAAGGTGAAAAAAAAGTTGCTCCTACAAAAAACTTAGTAAAGATATGTAAACTGACATGTTAAGACCCAGAAAAAATTGGTACGTGCTTCAATTGAAAAATGTGACTATTAGAGAGGGAGATTTATATCACTTGCAGTCTGTCGATTTTAAACTCTTCAAAAAAATTTATGTTAATATTGTCCAAACGGTCCTTGAAGTTATGCAATTTAAAAAGTAAAAACCTAAATTTGCGGTAAATTTGCTCAACTAGTGCAATTCATCGCACCCAATTATTTCACAATTAGGCGTTGATCAACATTAAGAAACTTTCCAAAGTGCACATAAATTTATCAAAAAACTGTACAAATCGACTTCTTTGAAATAATCAAATCATTGAAAAAAATAAACGGAGTTGATAAATTTTGACATTTGAACTTAATAAAGAGTAAATATCTTCATTGTGATATGGTGAAAATTTCAGTTGAAAATTAGTATTCATAATGTAGGATGGATTTGCTCCAGCTCAGACAATTGTGTCATGATTTATCGGAAAAAAACTAAACGATCAAAACGAAACAATTCAAAGTACAATTTTGAGATATCGTTCCCAGATGAGACTAGAAATGAGCAAATAGAAGCAGCTCTCGTTTTCCAGTCACTTTTTCAGACTTATTATTCTGCATGACTTACGAGTGATTTTATTTGATTTTTACGTGGCACCGAAACAATCAATTGACACATAGACGAAGCACCGGTTCGTAAACACAAGGGATAACACGACAAAAAAGCAGCTTTATAAAGTGTAATAAAAAAAGAATAAAGCCACGAATTTGTAAAATTTTGCTACGCATCGGATTAGAGCCTGCGACTTGAGATTCAGAGTCTCACGCGCTGCCCTCTCGGCCACAAACGCTTAACAATCGACAAATACTATTCTCAAATAAAGCAGCTATATATGCTCATAAATTGCCAATGCGATGCAGCAAAGTGGCATCAAATATAAATAAACACAAATTTGGAAGTATTAATTGGGAAAATAACAAACTGAAAGCATGCACACTAACTTTGCATGTAATAAATGGGAAATCATAAAACCACATTCTGTATAAATTATCCATTTCAAAAATTGCGAGATATATTGAGATATTGATTTAGAAAATTTCTGAAATCGAGTTTTTGGCTATCATGGTGTTCGAAGCAAATAGCTTTTTTCGGTTCAGTTGATGAGTTAAAAATGCATTAACTGTGTTAACTTATTAATATTCGAATGTCAAAGCACATGCTATCAAAAAGCTGTAAAGGTGCCCCAAAAATGTCACCACTATTTGCGACGTGGGTTAGAAAAACGAATAGCCGTACTACTTAACTACGCTCACTAAGGTTCGCCAGTGTGAAAAAAATTGAGGTAGTGTACTTTGTAGGTACCGTGGCAGCTACCTGGGACACTCTTACGAATTTTAACCAAAATAGATTAGCGGCAAACACTGACTCACATGCTGTTTATCACTAATACCGAACTCAAGCGCTGAGGAACATGACTTCTGTAATTATCAAAAACATATTTGATTGAAAGGTAGTGTTTTGAGTTGGTAGTAAGTTTGCAATACGAGGCGAAACTGAGTATTTTGTGAATTGTAAGCGGATTCCGCAACAAAGACGCTTTTTGTTCTACTTTTGTTCTTTTTTCTTTGATCGTTCCGACACAATTTTAACGTGTTTGAAGACTTGTCTCTGGGTTCCAGAGACCTGAACACCCCAAATTGTGCACCTATCCAATGCGCAGTTTGGCCTCGTAATAAGAGTCTACCAAAAATTCGGTCTGCTGAAGACTCAGCCTCGACCCTAGGACTTCTTGAAGTTGACTACACCTATAACAACGTCAACTAGTAGTCGCTTCGTTTGACAAATTGTGGTATAACCAGCAGAAACAAAAAGGGCCGACCCACGACTTCTGCAGCACCTTTCTAACAGCTAGAGTAAATTTATGGACGTTTATTTTGAGATCAAAGAAGAAAATTGAAACAAAACAACACTAAAATGGGCCATTTTGGCTGTAAAATGCCTTGAATAAATTATGTTGAAAAAAACGTGAGCAAAAAAATCGGATCTCACTAGCTATTACCCGTTGTTCATTATCTATTAACGAATTGCCACCCCTTTAATAAAGTAATTCAACAATACGAATTTAGTAATTTACAATGCGGTTAAGAATACGCGAATTCTTTACCAGGTACAAAATTCGCATATTCTTAACCACGGGGAATAGCTATGACGTAGCGGGAACAGCTATAAAGTAGATCAAATTGAAAGAATACAAAATGAAACAAAATTTTTAAAAAATGCTAAAGTTTCAAACAAATGCTGCAAAAAAACTTTTAAAATTATTCTGTTTTCAAACATTTCAGCCATGAAGAACCAAACTCCTGGATCTCGTGCGATCCTCGCCGTACTCTTTCCTATGCAAAACAGTCAAATCAAAAATGCGGAAAAAAACTTTATGGAAAATTATGACTTCGAAAAAAATTTGGACATGAAAACAATACGTTATGCCATCAAATGAAACCGCCTTCAAATAAAATTTCTCTAACCTAAAACAAACTAAACAGATGAAAACCAGCAAAATTCCACGCAAGTGTAAAGCAAAAAGTAAATCAGAAACCTTGCATCCGAAAAAACTGAAAATTTAATGCAAAAAAAGTTCTTGCAGAAAAAATATACAATTTTTTCACAAAAAATTTGGCGTTTATAAAAGCCAAGAAACCATTAACTACACTTCAACACTTGACTATGAAGAAAAAAGCGATTTAAAAAACCTAGCAATAAGTTACCGAACGAAACACCCGGCAAGTAAGCCTTCACAAATTGAGTCGAAAGCAGCACAGCCAAAAAATTATATCTAAAAATTTCTTCAGCTGTAGACTCAGTATATTTTCAATAGCTCTTGAACAGCTGTGAGACCATTTGAACAAAATTCTTCACGAAAAATCAGGTACCCGATTTCAATACCCTTCCTTATCGCAAGAGTAAGTATGGAAAAAAAATTTGTATTTATTGCTCTGACTTTCAAAGAAAAAGACGGAATACTTGAGCTCGGGTGGTTTTTCCCGACCAATTACTTTTTAACTAAACATTTTTGAATTCCTGAGCTTAACTTCAAAAAGATATTTAACCTGTGATCTTTTTTTTTGAAAATTTATCGGGGTTTGAAAATTGTTAATTTGGGACAAATTACACGCGACATATTTCGAGCTATTAACGCGTAAACAGCTATAGAATCCGCTCATAAACCGCTAAAAATTGAACAGAGGTTTGAAACTTTGTTAATAATACGTAACTAGACGCAAAGAAGATCTGCATACGCAAACTTTCTATATATTTCTACGGCTGGTTCAACTTTCAGTCTCAAACAGTTCTTGAGAAATTTGACATTTATCTGAGAAATTTATGAAAAACCCAGTACTTGGCATCAACTATTATCCTTGCATTGAACATGACTTTGCGTAATTCAAAATTGGTGGACTTTCTGGAGCAAAAAATTGTGGATAGTAAGTGAAATTAAAACAACGTTGCAAATATGAATTTCACTTGGTAATTAATCATTCGTGTAAATAGAAATTACCTATTGACCATCAATTGAAATGAGAAAAAGTACTATAACAAAGCAGTAAGTATCAAAAATCCAGAGTCTACTTTAGAAAAGAGAAGCTTATCATAACTCGTTATTTGCAGCGAGGGATAAACTCATCAGCACTACAGTAGAACTTGAATAAAAATCAAATAGCTACGGAGATAGGTGTGTTGAAAAATTTCACAACTAGTTGACATGTTTGATCATTTGTCGATGCTTTTTCAAATTCAATAGAAGAAGCTGATTTTTAGTGTCACAATTTTCACACAAGTTTAAACAAAAGAGACCATTCTTCAAGAAACGCATAGTTGCTAGAAGTACAGATAGAGCGAAGTGAACAGGGCTTTTTCCAATTCAAGACAAACAAATTGATTTTCGGGTCAGTTTTTTAGTTTGTATCTTGAGACCCATTTAAATTTGGGATGATAGGATCCAATGTACAAGTACCCTCCGTGCGGTGCCGCTTCACTAATCTTCTGGGCTCCCTGTCCCGATGGGTCGTGCAGGAGTTTAGTCAGGGTCCCTTTCTGGTCAATATATCCCACAAGTCCGTAAGGCGGAACCATGTTCACAGGGTTCAAGATGTGCATCGTGTTCAGGTATTTTGTCACTACTCGGATGAAAGCCCGCTCGTAGATCAGGTTTGCGAAGGCAGAGAAGCGAACTCCTGAGAAGCCAACCCAATATCCTTTACCTAAACAGACATCACCACTCAACAGCGTGCCCAGCCCCCACCTAAAATCTGGTTGTCAATGTTTCCTAAGGACCACCTCCCTTTCGTACTATCATACGTGAGTCACTTGTAGCTGACCATTCCTACAAATATTTTAACGATTCTGTTGACAATGAGTATATAAAAATTTAAGGAGGAGAACGGTCGTCAAAAAAAAACGCAGTTTTGTGAAAATCTTCCAAACGTGCTCAACATTGGCATTTTTTTCTAGAAAGGTCGGCCAAATTGTTCAAAAAGTGCCGCGACCCATTCAAAAATGCGTGCGCACGCCCCTGTGAGCACTCAATTTGCTGTGAATTTCAATATATGCTGTTTTATTTTTCATAAGCAACTCTGCACGTATGTGATGTTAATACGCATGAATTACGATTTTCTATTCAACTATAGAGCCAACTTGTCTATATTTGCTTGTGTGAGCAATCATAATTAGATTTTTCTTAAAAAACTTCATTTATCGTGCTAGCAGTAAACGTCTTTTAAAAGGCAATCTGAAATTCAGCACTCGTTAAAACGATTGCTCAGAGAAAAGAAAGTCAGAAACATGAAAAAAGGAATTGAGACAAAAATCTAAAGGCACTCGTTTCAAAAAGAAGCTTAATATTTATTAAATACTAACTTGTTGGCAATATCGGCGAACTTGAGCTATTTATTTGGTTAAAAAACGATGCTTTGAGATATTTTAAAAACTTTTAGCGCACTGATTCCGATTATATTCCGATGTCTAAATGAGTAGTTTTATTTTTTTTTCGTTGAGACACGTTTCCGAAAAAGATATTGCTAGTAACAATTTGGTATTATAATATACAAAATACCGTCTGTTCTGATGTTGTCGGGGAACCCTGGTAGTCCGTCTGCAAACACTGTATACTCTCCACTGTGTTTATTCACACGTAGAACCCTTGCGTAAGATAACTCGCTCACAATCAGGTAATTTTCATCCCCAGTATCCGTACTCAATCCATTTGGAAAACACAAATTGGATAAAACTGTCGAATGTTCTAGACTTTTCCTATCCAGCTTAATGATTCGCCCAGTGCAGTCTGGTTCCATGAACGCATTCACGAAATCTTCCCTGTTGTTGTGGTCACTTGAAAGCGTGAAATAAATAGATTGATCATCAACTTGAAGACTGTTGAGGAATCTGTAAGTAGAATTGAGTATGTCGAAATCGGAGTCTTCTGGTTTGGGAAAAAGGCGTGTCTGTTTCTGTGTTTCCAGGTCTAGAGAGAAGAGGCCGTGATATGAGTCAACAAAGAAAAGAGTCCGATTGTCAACTAGTTCGATGCCCAGAGGACGACCACACACCTACACAGAAATCGAAATACGATTTAATTAGTTTTGTAGGAAAAATTGTTGATATTTGCAGGAAAAACTGTTGAATGGAAAAATATCTGGTTCCCCAATTACAAGACAATTGCCCTCGCAATTGTGCTTGAAAAGTACATTTTTATTAACTGTGGTTATAAATGAAAATGAAACTAGATTCCGAGATAATTTCAAGAACTCTATGCATCAGGAAAAAACTAAAAAATGAAAAAGTTCCATACGCTAACTGCAAGACGCGGCAAATAAGCCGAAAAACTAGTCGCCTTAAATCGGAAAACTAACAACTTCAGCTAATTGAAATTTGCCGAAGATTAACTATGCAAAGCAAATTGGTGGAAATATTAAGTACACCTCAATGAAGATCGATACCATGGCCCATGAGAAAGCAGTAGAGAGGCGTTCAATGAGGACAAAATTTAAGTTTAGCTTTAGACAAAGTAGCCATCAGGGGAAAAAATCCCAATTCGGATCAAAAAAGACTAGCAAGGGTTGAGATTTTCAAGTTCCGTTATTTTTTTATGTCTAAAAACTTTGAAAAAAAAATTGAAAAACGGCAAATCACGAAAACCAAAAAAAAATTTGAGCAGTTATATTTGGACGCCAGACTTGCAACCCCTGAATGTATCCTGTTAGCACCCAAAATGGGGTTGAGAAATTCATGTTCGGCTAATTTTTTCCCATCTAACTTTTCGAAAAAAAAATCATAAAAAACTCCATTTCTCGAAAACCAAAAGAATTTGATTAGTCATGCTTCGACGCCACATATGCATCCCCTTAGTGTACCCTGACAGCACCCCACTATTGGGTTGAGAACTTAATATTTAGTTAAGTTGTGAAACAAAAGTATTACGTTGCGAATATAGGAAAGATGAAGAGTTAAAGCATTCGCGCTCCAATAGCAGATTTTTAAAAGTTGTCTGGAGTAATTATTTCAACCCTTGCATTGTTTTGGCCTGTTAACAGACCAACATAGCAACTTCTTAGATATGTGCCAAATAAAACTTCTTAAGCATAACAATATACGATATAGCTTAAACCAGCAAAATTTCTTTCGTTAAAGATGAAAAAAATACGTTCAAAAAGCTTAAATATGTCAACATAGGAACTTCTTAAACATGTGTCAAGTGAAACGCCAATTAAACAATGTATATATTGCTATAACCCAGTTTAACCATTGCAATTAAAAAGTTAAAAATGACCTTTCAGCTGCATTTGATACCATTGATCATAAAACATTGAGAAAGATCATGAAAAATCGGATTGGAATGACGAATGATGCAGTGGATCTAATTCTTTCCTATCTAGAGAATCGGACTCAAATTGTTGCTATCAATGATGTTTTATCGAATTCTCAAGAACTCGAATTTGGAGTGCCTCAAGGTTCTCTTCTGGGACCCCTCCTGTTCTCAATCTACCTGACACCATTGAACGATATTATTGGCTCAACTAAATTTTCATACCAAGTGTATGCCGATGATACTACTTTATACTGTGAAATTAAAAATGAGAGTGAATTAGCAGAAATAGAAAGATCTCTGGTTATTATTTTGAACTGGTTTTCGTCCATGGGGCTTATGTTAAACGAATCAAAAAGCCAAGTAATTAACCTTAGCCACTAGTAAGTCAAAAGGTCTAACAAACGGCTCAATACTCATTGGAAATTCAACGGTTAAGCTGATGAAATCAACAGAAAACTCTGTGAAGTCTTTAGATTGCCTCATTGACCGATCCTTGTCAATGAAAAAAAACAGATCGATTCCGTGTGTGGCGCCAGTTACCACAGTCTCCGGAAACTATACAGCATACGTTTCTACCTTGATTTTGAAAATAGAAATATGTTGGCAAGAAAGCTAGTCTTAAGTCGATTAGACTACTGCAATAGCTTGTACTCGAGCTTACCAAATTATCTGCTCTACAAGTTGCAAAAAGTCCAAAATAGTGCCTGCAGATTTGTTTTCTGTTTGAAGAAGTCAACGAGTATTACTCCTTATCTACATGATCTACATTGGTTGCCCATAAAATCTCGAGTGATTTTTAAAGTCTTGACAATCGTACACAAATGCATTTTCAATCCTCAAATCGTTCCGTCTTATCTGAGTAAATATTTTTCACTACAAAAAAGTTCCTCCCGTTTCAGTGAAAGGACCATGGTCATTAAGAAACCACTGGTTAACACGAACTATGGAAAAAGGACGTTTAGATTTGCTGCCGCACACCATTGGAATAGTTTACCATGTAACCTTAAACTACCAAATGAAACTGAATTTCGTAAACAGTTGAAAACGTATTTGTTTAACCAGTATTACTATGAGACTTGTTTCAGTTAAAGGTTGCTAAAATGACTGAAACTAGAAAGGTTGGAATTCATAAGCTTAACGAAACCTTGCGTCTAAGAAATGTTCATGTTGAAACCAGGTTTCTCCCCAAAAGACGGATAATATTGAGCTCTGATAAGATCAAGAGAGTGACATATGCTGTTTTGGGATCATCGCTAGTTTATGGGATTTTTCTGCCAGATTCCGTGACAGTTTCGTGCCCTGGTGGAACTCTCTCAACCCTTTGTAGCGATCAGGTTCTCAAGGATATGAAAAACTTGGATGTACAAACAGTGCTCATAATGGGAGGAACAAACAACCTGTTTGGCCGTTCAGGGCGCCAGTCATTGGGAGCGACTGAAGTGGACTGAAGGGAGGAGAGTGCTATTTTTAGACTCCTTGACTGCAATTTCGAAGTTGGCGTCATGTCACTTATTAGCCGGGAAGGTGAACGCTCTCTTATCAGGAGAGTGAATAAATGCTACAGAAATCTAACGGCATGGTATAAAATCCCGCTCTTTAAAAGTGTAAAGTTCAGCTATCGGAGGCATGTTTGCGCAGATGGACTTCACCCCACAGCAAATGGCGTGCGCGAACTTGCTAAGGACTTTTATGACGCCTTCAGAAGCATAGAAAATCCAATGGCTGTGAAACGAAGGCAAAGAAGGCGACGACGATGAAACGCCCAGCTCATTTTAGAGCGGGTCCGATTTTTAACCATCTTCAAAGAACATTTTCTGTTTAAATCCCAGCTCATTTTAGAGTGGGTACGGCTATCGACAGAAACGAACTCATCTTTAGCGGAGCGACTGATTATTTATACGACAAAACTGGTTTTTAATTAAACTCAAACACCTTTGAATTCAAGAAATTGGTGTCGAAATAACATATGTGATGATGATGATGATGATGAAAAAATAATTGCAATTTTATTTTACACAGGCGAGACAGAATTTCGCACCACTTGCGAGGTCACACAAACATATCATTAAGCGCCACATAAACATAGAATCACCAAAAAAGAGAAACAAGCCATTAAAACACATCGGGAAGCATAATTTGCCTGTTAAATATGCATTCAGAAAATTTATCCAGCAGTAACTAAGCCGATAATACATGGCTAGATGCCATTGCGCTGAAAGCAAAATGAAACTTACACACCCGAAAGCAAAGTTCCTCTCACTTTCAGCAGTCGGCAAAAGAAGCATAAATTCACTTGGTTAATTAAAACTTAAGCATACAAGGACAAATTTAACTAAGCACACCCACCTTTTCAGTGTCTGGTTTATCACATCTGCTGTATAGATCTGATGACTCATTGTTCGGCTTCAACATCATCACTTTGCCATCCGCACAAGTAGTGATTATTGAGTTACCGTAGAACACGAAACTCTCAGGCCCACTGACAACATTCTCGTACAGATGGTCAACAAACATCAGTTCGGAGTTCTCTCTCGTGCTCGGGTCCATCAAATTCGGGATTTCTTTCTCTTTAGTCACTTTTTTCACGCCTAGAGAGCGATGAGCATTTTAAAGACAAACTGTCTAAATTTATTCTCATTGTTGATTTTTGAAAGCGTGACTTTAAAAAACTTAGTCGGTGTAAAAATGTTCACTTATATGAGAAACTCGGAAGCAGACAAAAAAGGTAATAAAGACTACTTCGTAAGTATATTTTTCCCCACGTAAAACAGAGAATACTTAACTTTAATTGCTTTTCGACTTAATTTTGACAATTCACATTAAATAATACCCACCAATCAATCGCTATAAATGTTGAACTTTATGGGCATTTCAAGGCAAACGCAAAAAAAAGTAAATCTGAAAATTACAAAACAAAATTGAAATATTATCACTTCGCCTATTAAATACGAAAATACAAATGTAAAGTGAGTGATTTGAATGCTCATCACTGGCCTGACAAATCAATAGGGGTCAAAGTGATGGGCGAAGTGCACATCCAAAAGCCATCTGTGAAGAAAAGCAGAGCGAAGAGAATAATGACTATGATTACATTGAGGAATGTGCGTTTGATTGCGCGCCACAGGTGATGAGAGAACCCCTTGCTCTCGTACGGGGGTTTGATCCTGGCAGATACAATGTGTTTGCGAGGCGTCCCGCGACGCATTTCAACTGAAAGTCAATACTTCACTCGAGTTTTAATTTCACCATCCTCGCTCGCCACCAAAATATTGAAGAAAAACCACTAAAAACTTATATCAAAGCTTATATCATAGGTCGTAAAAGAAAGAGACACGAATAATTTTCATTGCAACATTTCAGAATACTCTGAGCATCACCTCGTCTTTTTCTAATAAAAGTCCAAAATAAACTATAATCCGTTTATTCTAATAATTGAACATACTCCTTTGATAATTTTTTCAAACTATAATGACTTAGATCAATGTTGAAGCTTCGCTTCCTAAAAGAATTGGCACTTCTACATGCATTTGTGAGAAATTTTACAGCTTGGGCTGTTGTACTGTAGAGACATTTCTCGGGTAAATACTCGGGATATACTAAACGGTTCGGACAAAGAGGAAAGCAGCCCATCAAAATAGCTTCCATAACTGCTAGACCCTGAAACTCATGAATTGATGTGGACAAAACTATATCACTTTCTGCGAGTGTTTGAAAATATTCTTCCTTTGATTCTAAGAACCCAGCGTGAAGTAACTTATGACCAATTTTGGAACAAATCTCAGAGATCGATTCAGGTACTGTCAGTGTTTTCTCTCCCAAAACTGATAGCCTAAAATCGCAATTTTTACCATCCAATTCTAAAATAATATCTCTAAACAGATCAGGGTTTTTATCATGCTCCCATCGATGCGGCCAGACTATATGAAGAGCATCTTTGTCATCGTTCATCTTTTTCGACAGTTTTGGAATCTTATCAAAATCAATAGGAACAGGCAATACGCGGCACTTTGATTCGATTTGTAACCTGATTGGTTGAAATTCAGTGTTCGGAACTTTGTTCAGAATTTGCTCACAATTGTTCAGAAATGTTGATTGATTATACATAGAGTTGAAAATTAGTTTATCAGCAGCTAATGCCGAAACTATTTCGTTGTGACAATGCTGATAGTCTCGGTCCTTTTCAGCTTTTCTAGGATACACAAGTTGATTTTCGTGGAAATATAGAATCTTTTCACATGAAGCTAAGTCAGTTCTTAACCCGATTAACTCAGCCAGGTTAGTACAAGACGTTAGAAAAAGTTTCTTGAATTTACGATTTCTCGGAATCCGCTGAGAAAAATACAAAGCACTGCATCTGGATCGCCAATGCCATTTAGTTGCAGGCAATGTCAACAGATAATAAGACTTTTCTGGTAGTATGGGGAGAGTCAAATCCAGCAAATGTTTGTGAGAGCCTCCAAAAAATGCTTCCAAAACTAGAAGCGAAGATTCAGTGGAATCATCCATGAAATACAAAAATCAAACTCTGAAATTTATGATCCTTTTGTTATTGTAAATGATTTCATTTTTTAAAAAATCAATTTGCAATTCATCTTTTATAGGGAGAAAGCTAGTTCAAAATGCTAATAAAAACAATAAATTCCTTGTATGACTTCAGATCAAAAGTAAAACTCACTCTCCTTCAGCATGTCGTTTTGGGATCTCCAATGGCCAAATCAAAATACCAATATAATCATCATAGTACTTATTCTGCCTCATAAATCTTCCCATAGTTGTACTCTTTTTCTCGAACTCATACTTGTGCAAAACATACGCAGTCGACACAGTCATAGCTCCGAACATCAAAGGCGCAAACAAGGTAAAAGACAGCATGAAATTGTTCATTCCCTTAACTTTTACATTGAATTTACCCCGCTGGTGCTTAATATATTTGTACATTAGGAACGAAAACGGGATAAAAGTTGCAGCAGTTGAAGTTACTCCTGTCATAACCATATTACTAATTTCATCATCAGGAACGTCGTCCAAGGTCAAATGAGTTGACTTCACTGGCTTCGAAGCATCGACGTTAGACGAGTGAACATCACTGACTGCAACCTGTGTTTTCATAGTTTCATCTATTTTAGTGCTATTCGAATTCTGTTCAGTGTTTTCGCTGGCCCAAAATTTCCACCATGAAGACATTTGCTTTCTGTTAGCTGAACTCTTTTCGGGGTTGACAGTTTTTTTGACTAATTTGACACTGTCACGCTGATTTCCAACTGACTTCGAAACAGGATCTACTTTAATCTCAACTGGTTTCGGTTCTTTTTCTTCACTCGACCAGAACTTCCACCATGAATTTTGACTTGCTTTTTTCTCAGGTTTGACATGCTTCAAAGCTAACTTTTCCGTGTGCTTAGAGGCTTCCGCTTTTTCAGAAGCACTCACTGGTTTGCTACTATTTCGAAATGGATTTCTAGTATTGGGATCGGTAAAATCAAACTTGTCAGAATCAGCTAAAGGAGGATTTTCGATCTTTTTTGGATTGAAAATTTCCATTTCTGAAAACATAAAAAAACTGATATCAAAGAAAGCCAGACAAAGTAGAGTTTCATATAATTCGCGATTCAAATTTAAATGACTTTATTCCCAAGAAAATAAACCAGGGGCGGATCTAGGATTTTCTCGAGGGGGGGGCGGATTTTAAAAAAATTTTGTCGACCTTTTTTTAGGTCAACTAAATAGATTTTCCGAGCTCTCCCAAAGCACTATTTTGTCCTTATTTTGGATAAAATTTCTGCGCCGGAGGCAAAATTTTGAAAATGCAGGCCAAAAACGGCGTTTTTAGGCACTTTTTAGAAAAAATTTTGACCAAAAAATTGCGTTTTTTCGGCGCGCGCTCCCCCCTCAAAATTAATATTTACTGGCGCCAAAGGCGCCTTTAGAAAAATTTTAGGGTCCATCACCAAAAATGGATATCTCAAAATAGTACAAAAGGGGGACCCTTTGGGTCGGCATTGGGTCGAATCCCTGAGGGGGGCATCCGCCCCTGAGATAAACGCTATGTGGGAACACTCATTTATATTCAAAAACTTTACAATTATCTATTCTTTGAAAATCAGTTCCAAGCATCGGCAATACTTTACCCTAAGTCAATTTAAAAAGGCTGTTCAAAACGAATTGAAGGTGGTAAACGAAAATACTTTTAAGCCAAATAGCTGAAGCGGAGCTTGGTACAACTTCCGATAAATTACAAATATAGCCAACAGACAGTTAAAAAATTCGACGAATAGAATGAAGGCAAAAAAAAATTAACGACTTTCAAAACAGAAAACCTATTAACTTAAGCTCATCAAATTTTCGGAAAGTTGTGTAACCGTCACTTTTTTTAAAAGATTTTGTATTCCTCTTGAACCTCTAAAACTTTAAATCCATTTTAAAACTAAACTTCGTTCACGTTTTTTCACGCCAATTGAACTTGTGTTATTGGACAGCTGAAATGCAGTTCTATTTAAGCAAATGAAACTGAAGCCACAAAAAGCAAGCTTATGCCGGATCAACCTTTAAGCCTGTGTTTCTGTAAACAAAACGAAAGAAAAACACCGCACGACCTAGATAAGTTTCTTCATGTTGCTCATTGACGTTCAAATATAACATGACAGCTAGTCGACAAAAAACTAGATCTACTGAACGTTTTAAATTTGTCCCAGATGAAGTTCATTTTGAAGATAATATACTAACTAAACTATGACAAATGCTAGCGTTAAAAACATCATTGAAACAAAATTGATGAAAAAAAAAACCCACAAAAAAAGCTCCACTTCGCAAACACTAGCCAGAACACAAAAAGCAGATCTAGAAAAAGAAATAAGTAAAAGTAAAAACAAGCCTCAAATCAATAAAAACTCGGCTCAGTGTCGGATTCAATCTGCAACCTAGAGATTATGAGTCTCTTGAACTAAAGATTATGAGTCTCACGCACTAAGTCCCAGCCACGAACGCTCAATGAATCACTAACACTAGCCTCAAATAATGAAATTTCCAATGCTACAGATCGTAATCATTGCAAAATTGCAACCAAAAAAGCGAACACTTTTAATGAACATTTTATCTGCAAGTTAGATTGAAATAACAAGAATCGTGCGAATACACTCTCAAGCTAGCTAGTGTAAACAGACTTGAGAATCTGAGGTCTCCAAGAGATGAGTCCTGTAAACGAAGTTTTGAACGGTAGAAAAGAAAAAGTCTAGTTACCGGTTGCAATACAATTCCTCTTGCAAGTAAAAACGGGGAAAAGTTGTTCTTCAGGTAATTTCAAGTCACATAAGAATAGATAGGCGTTTGGTGTGCATATAGCATAGAATGCTCCGACTAAAAAACTTTAGGTGTAGGTGTAAGAATTCGAAAAATCAAGAAAAACGCATCACTTTTTTTCCAGGTATCCTATTTTCTACAAAAGTGAACGAATAAGGATAAACAACTACAAGAAAGAGAAGTATTGACAGCCAAAATAACGTAGAAAAAATGTAGTGGAACTTGGAACTAAATTTGAAGCTCAGGCTTTCAAAAAACCAAAACAACAATCGAAATAATTGATACTATTTAACTTTTGGTCAAAATATGTCGCTAATTTAGAATGGGTATACGCTTGCTGTACTACTGGTACACTAGTTTTAGGCTATGATAAATGGAAAACAGTTAATTACTTACTTATAAAACTGTTGTTTTTTTTGTTAAAATGCGAATGAAATAGGTTATAAAAAACCCAAGAATGAGAGCTAAATAATATTAAGAAACGCTAAAATAATGCTGAAGTCGAATGGGAAAAGACTTCATAGCACAGTCTCCAAATGAATTCACTCCGAAAAACTGTAAATTGCAGACGAATTTTTCTCAGGACAGAAAACATTGACCTTTTAGAAATCAAATTGCAACTGAAAAGGCTTTATTATGATACCACATTTGAACCCTCCTACTAGCAATCTTTGAGGTATTCAAAACTGAAGGAAAAAGTGCACACTACGCAATAGCTCCACCAAACTCCTTTAAAGGGGTGGTCGGAACAAAAAATAATTATCCAAGATCGATTCTTCGTTGATATTGTCTTACTGGTTTCTTTCAGCTTCGTGAGCAGAAAATCACAAATTCACCAGTTTAGATAGGTGGTTATTAAGTATAAATTTATGCAGATTATTTCTTTTACTGCATCACAACTTATACACAAGGCAGAAACTTCACTTATCATACTAAAGGAAAAATCTAACAGATAAAAAATTGTTCAGAAAAAACTTCCATTTTTTCAGATTTTTACAAAACGTACTCCCAGACTGAAGGACTAAGTGATACAATTTGAGTGTCGTTTGAATGATTTCTCAGGCGACTTAGCTCGCCGCTTAAAAATTGACAAAACGAAATATACCGCGCGCTAAATATCATCTTGCAAGCATCTATAGCTTTATAAATACCACATGAAAAAAAAAACGTTTACACTTTCAGCTCAGGTCATTAAAATCTTCTATAGTAGGTAAGAAATTTCGTAGAAGCGGAATTTGTCTCATGAAAAAAAACCAGACCGAATAAGCGAAAGACCGAAAAAACGAATGTCTTCGCAATAATTACAAAATCTAGTGAGCTCGTAGTTAAACAGAACCATTTGCTTGAAGAATAAGTCAAGTATGCATTCCATTAAGATTATCAAAATAGAGGCCAAAAAAATTCAAATTATTTACAACAATATAATCTCCCGAAAAATTGAATTCAACTTATATCGGCACAACCACAATAACAGTGACACAAAAAAAAACTAAATGCAACTAGCGTAAAACGCACCTCCGGTACTCATGATAAACCGCATATATTGGAAATTAGATCTGCATTCTTTGACTGTGCTTCGACAGCACCCAATTACAGGGTTCGTAATTACAAATTTTGCAAAAATTGTATTCAAGTTTTTTAAACAAATTTTGAAGAACCATAAAACTTTGTGAAGTTTTATTAAAGTTCTTCGAAAAATTTAAAATGAACTAAGAAACGTCACATCTGGGAAGCTAAAAGCAATTGAGCAGTCGCATTTGGACGCAAGATTTACAACTCCTCAGAGTAATCTTACAGTACCGAACTACAACGTTGGGAAATTCAAATTTTGAGAAACTTCACGTTAAGTTTTCTAAAAAAAAAGGTATTTTGTTTTGAAATCCGGAAAAAATTTCACATCTCGAAAGCTACCAAAAATTGAGCAGTCTTATTAGATGGCAATAATCGCAAGCTTAGAAAGTACTCTGACAGCACACAACTACAGGGTTGGGAATTTCACTTTAGTGAACTATTTTGAAATTTGAGTTTTCTGAAAATTTCCAAAAAAAAATCACAAAAATCATCGTATCTCTTAAATTAAAAAAAAATTTTGAGCATTCTTAATTGGAGGCCAAATTTGCAACTCCTGAGATTACTCTGACAGCCCTCAACTACAGGTTAGGAATTTCAAACTTTGAAAAGAAACTTAATTTAATTTTCATAAATTAAAAAAAAAATCACAAAAAAGTCATATCTGGAAAGCTGCAAGGGTTTGAGCAGTCATATTTGGAGGCAAAAATCACAACTCCTGAGAGTACCCTGAAAGAGCCTCACTACAGAGATGGTATTTTCAAGTTTTAAAAGAAATTTATACCCAATTTCTCTGAAAAAATTTGAGAAAATCCTAAAAACCGTCATATCTCGAAAACTACAAGATTTTGAGCAAGCATATTCAGAGGAAACATTTGCAACCCCATGAGAGTACCCTCACAGATTCCAATAACAGGATTGAGATTTTCAAAGTTTTGGAATTTTTTAACATCTAATTTTTTTGAAAATTTCGGAGAAAATCATAAAAAACGTCATATCTCGAAAACTACAAGGATTTGAGCAGCCATAATTAGAGGCAAGATTCGCAACCCCTGAGAGTACCCTCACAAAATCCAACAACAGGACAGATCTTAAACGTATTGGAATTTTTTAAAATCTAAATTTTTGAAATTTTTTGAAAAAAAAATCATAAAAAACGTCATATCTCGAAAACTACAAGGATTTGGTTATTCGTATATGGAGGCCAGAATCGCAAAACCTGGGAAAACTCTGGCAACATCCAACTATTGGTTGCTTATTACAAACCTGATGAAATAAAACTGAATTTAAACGGGAAAATCGGAAAAAAAACTTAACCATTGCAATATTTTTTTGCACCTTTAACAAACTACTTTTGTTAAAGGTGCAAAAAAAATACGTTGAAAAAGCTTAAACATGGCGAGATAGTGACGCCTGCATTTAAATATATAATAGATAATAGATTTGACAGCAGAAAGTTTAAAAAATTAGGAGACGGGTAGACAGACAATCAAATTAAGTAAAAAAAGCAGGTATACAGACAGACGGACTTAATTTGGCCTCGAAAAAAAATTAATTAACGACTTAATTAACGACCTTGCCGAAAACTAAACTAAAAATTTTCTTAAGCATTGCAATATATGATATAGCTTAAACATGAAAAAATTCTTTCATTAAACATGCAAAACTATTATGCTTAAGCGTGGGAGATAGCTGTCACTAGCATTTAAATATAGTATAGATAGATAGATATAGATACAGATAGATAGATAGATAGATAGATAGATAGATATAGATTCAACTTATATGGGTAATTAAAACAACCTAAATGTACCAACATCACCAGTGAACCTTTTGCAAAAGTCAGTTCAAAAGAAAAACACTTTTTTGGATATTTCTCACTGGAGATCAAATAACGACGGAAAGCTTTACAATTATGATTTACTGGACCCAATTCGACGTTTAGTTTTGGTACCTGACACGCCGCAAAAAAATTCCTTCTCACCTTCGGTTATTGAAATAACCGTTAACCCTAATATCAACCCAACAAAAACACGAAGATCTATCACCCAGCCAAACGTTGTTATTTAACTTGAGGAAATAAAAAAAAAAACATTCAAGTAGCTGCACCGGGAAATAATTAAGAAAAATCGTTATATGAGAGCAAAATAGCACAGCCAGCGAAACGTTTTGCAAGTTGCACATAATATTCCAATCAGGTACCTTTGTTTGAAAAATTAAGAAAGATAAAAAAAATCTACCAGAAATTAAGCATCACTATAAACTATTTATCCTGCATCTGCACAACCACTGTAAAAAATTGCGAGCATGATTCTTTACCGATTTAAGGTCGACAGAGGCCAGAATATGCAATTAACTTTCCCTAAGAAACTAAACATGGATAGTTAAAAAAAGAACTGAAGGAACTGGTATCTGAAAATCCGATAAAATTTGAGCAGAGGCATATCAAGCTTGAAATTGACCCAAGCTTGAAATTTTACATCAAGCTTGAAATTTTACATCAAGCTTGAAATTATGGAGGGAATAGAACGCAGAACATCAATCGTGCCAAGACGACACAATATTTCTGGGCCAAATATGCAAAACCAAATGAAAGCGCAAAAACATTACGAAAAGTCAGAGTTAGCAACATCTCAACTCGTATGAGAAAAACTTTTTGACAAACTCAACGAGTCGGTTTTTTAAAACGTGAAGAACTTTTTTGAAAAATCACAGAAAATGTAATCAAAATTTTATCCAAAAGTTACCACTAATAATTGACATCGGAAGAATGCAGCAATTTTTCGTTCAAAAACTTTGATTTAATGCTCCATTTTTGTACATAATTGTTCAATAAAAAAACCTTAGTCTTTACATAAAATTATTCACCAAGTCTTATTTGTACAAACCAGGATTTTCTCCGTCATATAATTGGCATTTGAAGCACAGAGGAGAACCTGATTTGCGTATCACTTGCTATACAAAAAATATGTCAGTCTTCAGGCGAACTCAAGTAAAATTGGTTGTAAAAAAACTGCAAAATAAATCAAATTTCTAAGTTTAAAATGTTTTAGCCAACCTATGATAAACTTACGATTCATAAAAACTCACTTGAAACTCACTCCAACCACTCGGAGGAATAATTTCTGAAAAAAAAAGAGGAAAACCAGATTTTTTTTTCAGTTTTTTGCAATCACATAAGCTTTGATTTCAAACGACTTGATTTGCAAGTGTTAAAATTTATAAAGACGATGCTTCATGCATTGCTTTCTTTTGATGAAGAGGAGATTGAAAACGCAAAATAAAATCAATATACAAAATCACCTTATAATCGAACATCAAAACATTCGTTTATAAAAACTTCTTGGAATTCAACTAACTTTAAGAAAAGCATCAAAAACTTACAAAAAGTAGATCATTTAACCGCGCTTTGAAATTAATAAAATCAAAATATTTTATGACTGACATTTTTTTCATCAAATAACTATATTTGAGAAAACTGGATCACTGGGCACTTTTTTATTCCGCTGGGAAATCTGAAATTTAAAATCCATTTTCGAAAGTTTAATTCATTTACGTTTTTTCGCGCAATTTGATATTTGGAGAGCGGAATTTATAGCAAATGAAGTTAATTTGAACTTGAACAGAAGTAAAAAGCATGACCGCGAAAAATTAAGTTTGAGCGTTACCAACTTTCCAAACTGATTTTGAAAAACAAACTCATTTAAATTGCTAAGCGTAATCAAGATTCTCACTCACAAACACAAAAATTTGATGTTCTTATTTGGTAACGTTAGCTAGCATACAATTAAAAAGTAAAAATGAGCAGACAAAAAATGACAGGACAATCACGAAACCGAAAAAAAAAAATCTTCAAAAAAGTACGTTATTTCTCGTTAAATCAACATTCACTGACGTTAATTGAGCATTCAAAATCAATTAACGAGCGGCAATCAAGCTGATTTATAAAATAAGATAGACGCCATTGAGCCAAAATGAAAATGTCATAGGAAATTTTGATACACACAATTTTGAATTTCGAAGTTTTTACTCCCAATTTCTTAAACGAGCATAACAATCTTAGAAAGAAGCATATCAAAATTAAAAACTATAGAACGGTTTTCAATTATCAATTAAATTGCTAAATAAAAAATATTGATTCTTTGAAGGAACAAAAATCCATGCTTTGAAAATGAAGCCGTCGGAAAATAAGTGCACAAAAGAAAAACACATCGAAGAAGAACAAGGTCCGACAGGGACTCGACACCCAGACCTGTCGCCTGTAAAAAAAATTTTACACAGAGCCCAAGCCGACCTCAGCGCCACTTGTGATAAAGTACAAAACAGTCACTAAATCGAGAAAAAAGAAATGCCGAAACCTATCAAAGCGTAATAAAGAAATATCAAAAACTCACACCGAGACAATAAGAAGGTAAAAATAGAATAAAAAACTTTCCAAGATGTAAAAAAGCCAAAAATACCTGAACGGAAAATCATAAGGCCGAAAAAAAAGACTTATCAACTAATAAATAGTATTAATCCTCCCATTCCTCTAAATACAATCAAAAAAAATTTTGCTGATCAAACGACAAAAAATGAGGCTAATAAACTGATATAAAATATGCCGAAAATTATCAACCCGATAAAAAAGAAAGTTTGCAACAGAGAGACTACTGCTGCAGTTCAGATTTCATTGTGCTGAAAATATAGATCTTGAAATCGGAGATCATCCTGTGGACAAACTTGTTTGCGGCAAAAAATCTGTAGTACCCGCGATTCCAAAAAAAACTTGAAAACTAACTAAAAGTTGTTAAAGCCCCATCCCCCTCAAAACGCAAACGCACACAATTTTTCTCTCATTAAACGACAAGATATGAAGCCAATAAGCCGAAATAATATGGGCCGAAGCTTCTTTAACTGAGATAAAAAAAAAGTAAAAAAAAATGTTGAGATCTTGAAATTGGAGATCATCCTGTGGAAAAAGTTGTTTACTGGAAAAAAGTCTAGTACACAATTGCAAAACCCATGCTTACGGGAAGGGTAAGCAAAAAAAACTGGTTCCCGATGATTACAAGTCAACTGCTCACACAAGTGAAAAAAGAACGGTTTATTTAAATTCAAATTATATGAATTTCGCCGATTTTTTTAAACTCTGCTAAATATATTTACTATGCAAAACACTAGCTGATATATTTACTACCACTGAAAAAAATTAGATCGCGTAAGCATGCAGTTGATAGAATTGCTACACAAAAGCAGCTCTGGAAAGTGCAATGAAAAAGTAGGAATAAGCCTCGAATTAGTAAACATTTGTTTACGTCTGGGATTAGATCCAGAACGTACAGATAAAAAGTCACACGCTGTAAGAGCCACGGAAGCTTAATAAATACATACACTAGCCATACATAAAGCAGAGAATAGATCCTATGAATAGATCGTGATTATAGCAAAAGTGCCACCAAAATTAGTGAACACTTTTAATTGCGAATTGGTTAGGAAAAAAAGAATGTTCGTACTAATACACTTCGCTCGCTAATATAAACAGAAAAAAATCTTGTTACCGATCAGACACCACTTGCTTGTGATCAAAACTATTCAAAAACAATGGTTAATTCAAAGCTAAAATATAGACTTGTATCTGTCGAACTGTACAAATTCAACGGCATTTAATGAAGTTATTACCGCAAACAATTCATGGATACAAGTATTAAAAGATAACTTGGACCGATGGTTATATTATTAATATTCTAGTCTCAGTGCCATTAGTAAACTTAAGTGTTTCAATGTACAATTTATTTCACTCCAGATACGCATTGTAAAGTTTACTTCATCGCCATTCTATTTAAAGCGGAACCTGCTTTGAACCATTCGATTTGACTGGCGTTCATTGTGTGGTTCAGCTTAATGACTTGCTTGCTTCCGTCCGAGTGTTTTAGCTCAGCTTCTACTTGCTTTCCTGGTGTCAATTTCTCGACATCTTTGAGAGTAATTTTGTCATCTGGCTTGACCTTGTCATAATCAGCGGGGTCATTGAATGTCAGGGGCAAGAGGCCTTGTTTCTTTAAGTTGGTCTCATGGATTCGGGCGAAACTCTTCACAATGACTGCTCGTCCTCCCAAATGTCGAGGCTCAAGAGCTGCATGTTCTCGACTAGATCCCTCTCCGTAATTTTCGTCTCCGACCGCAACCCAGTTAACACCCTGTGCCTTATAATATCTAGCTACGTCTGGAACAGCGCCCATCTCTCCGGTCAGTCGGTTTGTGATTTTATTGGCCTCGTCATTTTCGGAGTTGATAGCTCCGATCATGAAGTTATTCGAGATGTTGTCCAGATGTCCTCTGTATTTGAGCCAGGGACCAGCAGCGCTTATGTGATCAGTCGTGCACTTTCCCTTGACTTTGATGAGCACTGTCATGTCTTCATACGACTTGGGACTAAACTTGTCAAAGGGCGACAGAAGTTGTAGCCGCTGTGATTCGGAGTCAACATTGACACTTAGACCTGATCCATCCTCAGGAGGAGCCTAAAATTAACAATTGCATTGATCAAACTAGAAAAATTATAAATCGCCACCCTATTCCATTTCTTTCATTTTTCGCCACAATTCAGATAATCGAGTGCAAAGCCGAATTGATTATAAAGACACAAACGTCCTGGAGCTTAGTTGATCCATCGCTGAATAAGACTAATTTAATAAATGACAAAAAATGTATCTCACCTGGTATGTATCAAGTCCGGGATCGAATCCCTTAGATGGTAGGCCATCTCCACTAGGAGGCTGCAGCTTGAACTTTGACCCATCAGCAGCAGTCAACTCATCGGTCATTGGATTGAACTCCAAAGTACCTCCAAGAGACAACGCGGTTACAATTTCAGGTGACGCGACAAAACAATGTGTAGCCGGGTTGGCATCATTCCTTCCAGTGAAGTTTCTGTTGTATGATGTGACGATGGTATTCTTCTCTCCCTTCTTCTTTCCGTCAGTTCCACTTCTGTCCCATTGACCGATGCATGGTCCACAAGCGTTCGCCAAGACCACACCTCCGATTTCAGCGAGTAATTTTGCTTGTCCATCACGCTCAATTGTGGCTCTGATCTGTTCAGATCCGGGCGTCACTGTAAAGTGAGTCTTGCATTTCACACCTTTGTCCAGTGCCTGTTTTGCAATGCTCGACGACCGGTTCATATCTTCGTAACTTGAGTTTGTGCAGCTTCCAATTAGCGACACACTTATGTCTAGAGGCCAGTCGTTTTCTTTTGCGGTTTTGCCTAGCTTCGAAATAGGCGTTGCAAGATCGGGAGTAAAAGGTCCATTAATAAGTGGCTCAAGTTCGCTGAGGTTGATCTCAATGACCTGAAACACCCAAGATGAGTTAACTACATATAGCAAAAACCAAGAAATCAGCAGTATATCATTAATTGAAAACTTTAGCTTACTTCATCGTATCTGCAATTTGCATCTGGAGACAGTAAATTGTAATTATCTCTGGCCAAGTTAGCAATGTCAGCTCGGTTGGTTGCCTTCAAGTATTCGTCCATTCTCTCATTGTAAGGGAAAACCGAAGTAGTAGCTCCAATTTCTGCACCCATATTGCAGATTGTGCCCATTCCAGTACACGATATGCTTTTCACTCCTGGTCCGAAATACTCAACAATGGCTCCAGTCCCCCCTTTTACTGTCAAGATACCAGCCACCTTTAGGATAACGTCCTTTGCTGCAGTCCATCCAGACATTTCTCCGGTCAAATGAACTCCGATGACCTTGGGGCATTTCAGTTCCCACGGTATATCGGCCATTACATCCACAGCGTCTGCTCCACCCACGCCAATTGCCAAGGACCCTGATCAAAAGAAAAAATAGGCGCTACTGAATTATTTATGAAGATTAATTAAAAATCCATTACTTACCGAGACCGCCACCATTTGGCGTATGACTATCGGTTCCGATTATAAGTGCACCTGGAAACGCATAGTTTTCCAAGACGATCTGATGAATAATTCCGGATCCCGGTTTCCAGAATCCTAGTCCATATTTCGCGCCAGCAGAAGCCAGAAAATCGTACACTTCTTTGTTTACATCTTTAGCTCTCGCCAGATCTTTCTCGCCGCCTAGTTGCGCTTCAATCAAATGATCACAATGAATTGTGCTCGGAACCGCTACCTTGGGAAGTCCACTTGAAATGAACTGCAACAATGCCATTTGTGCCGTTGCATCTTGCAAAGCAACTCGATCAGGCCTCAGTTTCAAATAACTCTCTCCACGCTCAATATCCTGGCCAGCAGGATCATCTAAATGACTGTAGAGCACCTTTTCTGAATAGGTCAAAGGTCGATCCAAACGTTTCTTCACAACCTCTAGATTCTTCTGTAGACGGTCATATGACAGCTCAGTATGGGGCTCCTGTCTGCTCATGGCTATTTTAGCCATTGCACGATTGGTAATTCGTACATAGGTAGGTAATTTTACACGGCCTAGCATTATGACTGAAAAGAAATATTAGATTGATGGGTTAAATCATTTACTAAAATGGGAAAAAACCATAACATCAATAAAACACCATCAAACTTAGAAGCTGCGGTTCGCAAACACAGGCGAGGAAAATGCAAAAAGAGCTCAAAGCAGGCATAACAAAGTTAAATTATGAACAGATTAAAAATACACCTTGAGAAGATTTTATTGAGATTAGGAGTAGTAGCAGTATTAGGGATTTTGTGTTTCCACAAGGGGTACAGGACCCGTCAATTCACTCCTTTCAAATCACTGAAATATGTGCCAGTCGGTCATATCAGGAAGTTTGGCCTTGTTTAGGGATAAAAGTAATTTTTCAAAAACTCGAATTGACCCTGTCATGCTCAAGTTTCTCGTGACAACTGAACTGAAAATACAAAATAAATTAGATCAGACGATTCGAGTTAGAATTGCGGGAAAGTCGACGAAAATCACGAGAGTTAAATTGCTATTCGCAATTTTACCGGAATCTTCAGTACGAGTAGGGTTGTCTTGTTCCTGATAGAGAGGATCGAGAGTAGAAGAAAGGAAGTGCGATTGATTGGACAGGAGTGAGACTTAACTGGGAAGGTGGACAGCCGAAGCTGCCCAATGGTCCAGGACAAAAAACTTCTTGAGCAAAACCTATTCGCTTCAAACTTATTCTTCCAACCTGGTTTTTAAGGGCGTTCGCGTGTTTTAGGTATTTAGAGACTTGACCATGGGGGCGTTTATATTTCGAGAGTGGGCGGTATTTTGGTAGTAGCGTTTAAGCTGTAGCACGGTTTGTAGTCTGATGTCGCAAGTGAACCGAATTGGCTCCGACTGAGTGAGGTAAAAAAACACAAGAGATAGTGTCCCTGACCCTTGCGCCAATGTTTATAGGGCCTATTTTTCTTAGCCTCATAGGTGATTTAAGTAGGCGACTGATATGTAGTGTTTTTATGGCGCTCCTGGGTGTTTTTACGACATCAAGACTACCGAATCGAACCCAATTGACACAGCTCCGGGCTACATGCCCATTCTAGAGTACCGGTGGTACGGTTCAACTGGAACGTATCCACCTTCTGGTTGTACCGTGATAGCTTTTTAAGTGAGATTGAGAAAAATTCCCCGTGCTCTTTCGGAGTGAAGGGGCAACTAGGGAAACGAGCAAGAAGAAGAAGTGTGAATTCGAGTCTTCTGAAAAGACAATAATACAAGTATGATAACATGAAAAGTATCAATAGTTTAAACAAATGCATGTATAAAACAAAAAGATAGGTCTTAATGTACGAGAATAAGAACTGTGACATTTCGACCCAGAGGCGTCGGGTTGGTCCCAAATTGATCCGGATAGTGTGAATATTATAGAATTGCGACAGATCTACTCAGAGGCGTCGGGTTGATTCCAAATTGATCTGGATAGAGTGAATAAGATAGGAATACGACAAGTCGAACCAGAGGCGTCGGGTGGTCCCAATTTGATCCGGATCGAGTGAATACGGTAGAAATGCGACAGATCGACCCAGAGGCGTTGTGTTGGTTCCAAATTGATCGGGATAGTGTGAATATGATAGAAATGCGACAAATCGAACCAGAGGCGTCGGGTTGGTCCTAAATTAATCCGAATGTAGTAAATACGGTAGAAATGCGACAGATCGACTCAGAGCCGTCGGGTTGGTTCCAAATTGATCCGGATAGATTGAATATGATAGAAATGCGACAAACTGACCCAGAGGCGTCGAGTTGGTCCCAAATTAATCCGGATAGAGTGAATATGGTAAAAATGCGATGAATCGACCCAGAGGCGTTGGGCAACTAGGGGAAGAAAAAAAGATAACAGACAAAAAGCGAAACAAAAAACGAAAAAGATTAGAAATAGAAACAAAAAACTCTTTAAGACATCCAAAAAAGGACAGAGGTTTTGATTTTCAGATTAGATAGATCAAACCTTTATATTAATTAAAATAGTACACTTATACTGTTTTCAAATAAGACCAATTTTTTCGATCAGAACTGCAAATTTTCAGCAGGTGCCCGAGTTCCGGGCGTTGAAAGGGTTCTCAGACAGCCTTTTAACCTTGAAGAACCACTGGGAGACTTTGCCGGAAAAAGTGACCAGACCGAAAATCAAAGTAGTTCGCGGAACGGGGATCTGAAAAGCCAGAGAAGGCACGATTGGGAACAGACTACCAGTAGGGTGATCAGAGCAGTACAACAGTAAAAGGCGATCACCAGGGTGCACTTTTCAACCAAACGGGTATCATTAAAGTCCACCTTATACTATAGGAGATAGATATAAAAGGGAATAAGCGTCACCCCATTGTTTTGAGAAATTGTTTTACTTGAGCAGAGCTTGGAAACAGGTTCTACGAACTTTCTCTCGAGAAGCTTAGCACCCATCGCGCATAAGGTAATTTTTTGGCTTAAGTGGGGCTAGAAATGGGGAGGCTAGAATGGGGACTGGTTAATTTGGAGGTTGGCGGTTGGAAATTGTAAAAAGGGGGCTTGCTTACAGTAACTATACAATCGAAATCGTCGATTTGCTTATTATAGATTAGCTAGAGTCTGGAACAGTCTAAATAAAAACTCAGAACAAGAGTTGGAATGCGAAGGTACCCGATAGTAAACTCGAAACAAAGTAAGTAACCTGGCCGGATCTGGTGGGGAGATCGGAAATAGACAGTTTATGGAGCCCAATAGATGAACGCCCAATGAGAACGTTAAAAAGGGTGAGGAAAAACGCGTGACAGTTACGTACCAGACATTTTTTTGAAAGACAGCCCTTGTCGACCCTGCTTTTTGAGCACATACATTTTTCTCCTTTTTCGTTTTTCCTTATCGACTTTTACTATTTTTGGGACAAATTTTAGAGTTCTACGTAGATTTGGTGCATTTGCAACCAAAAAAAGGTTTAAAAACAAGGTTTATTTCAACTTGCATTGGATTTTAAAAAAGAAGGAAATTTTGAGGAAACTCAATAAATTTTTGGCAAGAAAATTGGGATTTGGGAAACTTTCAAACAAGTTTTTGAGGTGGTACGGGGATAGTGGACTAAGAATCCCAACGCTCGAGTTACCACATTGGAAAATTCTTCACATGAGTTCCGGAGGTGGTGTTTGGACAATGGATAAAGTGTGTAACAGTCGCCTACTTCAGTCAAATATGAGGTTAAAGAAAAATAGGCCCTATAACCATTGGCTTAAGAATCAGGGACACTATCTTTTGTGTTTTTCTACCTCGAACGGTTGAAGCCAATTCGGTTCAGTTGCAACATGAGACTAAAAAACCGTCACAGCTTAAAAGCCACTACCAAAAAACCCCCACCACTCTAGAAAATAAGAACATCCCCATACTTAGGTCTCAAAATACCCAAAAAACGCGAACGCCATTAAAAACAGCGTCGGAACAGTCCGTAAAGTTACTTTTTATTAGACAGTGAAACTTTGATCCATTTCAGATGGATCAACCTAAAATTCTCCCTACCTCAACATAACTATCATAAAACACACTCAAGAAAACTATATTGAGTACTCGCATATCGGCACACTCGAGACACTAAATTAAAACGCAACTTGAGAATTAATGGGGAATTGAGTTTGATTCAATAAGTTCTCATCGAACAAGTTCTAGCTTGAGAATTGAGTTTTTGGTCTGGACCATTGGGATACTTCGATTGTCTACCTTTCCACTGAAGGCTCACTCTGGTCCAACTGAATATCGATGTTCTTTAGCTCGCGATTACTTTCTGTCTCCTGTCACGAATAAGACAGCTCTACTCTCTTCAAATTAAGTAACGGAAATTGCGAATAGCAATTTCCCGCTGCTAAATTTGACCACTTTACCGCGTCTTTCTTTCGGGCGTTCTGATCTTATATTTCTGAGATTTTGAGTTTTCGCGAAAAAATTGAGCATGACAGGCTCAATTCGAACTTTTAAAAAATTACACTTCACCCCAAAATTACGTTGTCCGTATTCCTCAAGGTCAAACTTCCAAATATGACCGACTGGCACATACTCCCCGGACTCAAGATCGATGTCCTCATCGCGTGTTGCCGTCTGCCAGTGAATCCCCAGAATTCTGAGTGTAGCTCAAGATACAGTGCCAGTGGTCATTTACATAAGTTTGCAGCAGACTTAAGTTTATCTACACCCCAAAATTCACAACCATGGAAAATTGTCACACTATCGCTAAACAGCAATCAAATTCTGCATACACCTGCACCTTTAATTCATGCTTTGCAAGCTAATAAATTAAAATTTCTTTTGTCCTATCCGATCAGGAAATTGTCACGCAACATTTTGATTTATAAAATAATTATAGCTGATTAATAACAATACTTTGTTTCGTTAAAATTTCTTTTTCGTGATCTCGGATTTCATCCGAGTTCACACTCGAGCCCCTTGAGGTCTCTGCTCATTTCGTATCCCTAGCCTTCGAGGTGCTAGGCCCTGATGAGTTTGAGATCGTGATCTGCCTTAGCAGCGCTTCCTCATCATCGGAGCTGATTACGATCTCTTCCCACGCTTTTAATTGTTCGAAGGATCGCATCCACTCCCTCTGCTCTTGCAGCCTCTTTGCCTGATTTGGTAAACCTTTCACTTTTGATTCCCTGTTCAAGCAAAAGGAATTGTGCAGGCTCAAGCTCACGTTTTTTGCCATGTCCTCCTCCAGTATCGATTCTCTTGCTTTGGCATTGTCTCTAGACACCCTACCGACTCTTTTCCAACCTGTCGTGATCGCATTTCGATGGGTCAGCAGAGGTCTCTTGAAGGCCTCCGGTCCTATTTCTGCCAGGAACTGTCGATGTTCCTTCTGATATTTCTTAATGTGATCTTTCGTCACCATGTACAGCCAAGACGTCAACGTCGCTCGAAACCACGGACAGAACCTTATGCGGCTCCATACGTGCCTGACTTCCATTGGTATGGCGAAGACCTTGCATGAAGTCTCAAACAACTCAAGTCTCCTGCTGTAATCTATAGCGTATATTGATTCTGCCGTTGGTGT